CTGAGGCACTTAGTACGCAGGGATAGAGAAAACAGAAAGGCTGGAAAGGAGTAGTCGGCCAGACTTAGTGTTGGAATTTTCAGGTTATGTGCCTTATTTCTCCACTCTAACTAAATTAGTAAATGAGCTGTAAACTTGATTAAACTTGACATGAGTGCAGGTGTTCCATTTTGAGTACATTCACACTGTCAGGTTCTTGATGTGTTCAGTTACGCAATTTCAAAATAGGCTAATATTATCACAAAATTTTCAGCAGTGACCACTTAGAATGCTCGTCAGACTACAAAGAATTGGAAGATAGGATGCACTTTTCACCAAATTTGGAAAGTGTACGGCTCAGTCTGGCGTTATTGCTTATTGATAACGTCCTGGATTTGTCATGTGGTCATGGTGTGGTTTAACAAAATAACTTTTCGTCTGACCTAACAGAGTTATAGAGCAGTCAAAAACTAGACCACCGGGACAAGAAAGAGACAAACATGGAAAAAAAAAGAGAAAGTAAAAGATGCGAAGCCTTCTTATCTCTTATCAGTATGCAAATAGATGAATAATAAGGTACTTGCTTAGTATTGGAGCTATCATGCTAATTGTTTCAGGTTTGGAAAGAAAAGCACTGGAGTTACGAATATAGGTTTCAAAAGGGCAACCTGGTGCATGTAGCTCCCGCTTGCGCAGGGTCCAGGGAAGGGTCCGACCACTTTGGGTCTATAGTACGCAGCCTTTCCCTACATTTCTGTAAGAGGCTGTTTCCAGGACTTGAACCCATGACCTCATGGTCACAAGGCAGCAGCTTTACCACTGCGCCAAGGCTCCCCTTCACGAATATAGGTTTCACATCAAAAAAATTGGCTGACATGCATTGCAACTTGCCACTGATTGGTAAATATCATCTCCTCTATTTACTGCTCTCAACGAGTGCACCCTACAAATCAAAACCTTATATACATTGTTGATGTCGTATTCATAATTCATTCCCTGTTTTTATTGTTTCACAAACATAAATGTCAACTGCTAAGAATTACTTTATCAAAATTACTGTAATATGGGTAGATGAGACATATTTCTGGTGGATACTGCATGTCAGTTCTCTTTTGTAGGTCTGAATAAATGTGGTCATATTTGTATTCTCTTCTGTTGGTTTACAGTCCTTGTGATGATTACATACTGATGTTTTCATATATTTTAGTATTTTTAACAAGGGGATGTGAGGAGCTTTATCTATATCTATACCAATATAAAAAGACCCTAAGGGGCAGATCCAATTAATCTCAGCCATCAAATAAGGTCAATCCAATGACCCAGATTGCTCCAATGGTGAGCACTCAACATGTTTAACATGCAATAAATAACATACCAAATATCACCGTCAGCACTAATCACACAAGAAAATGTTATCTTACCTATTATCTTTATGCAATTGATATACTGCCTAATATTAACGTGCATTGCACTCACATATGCATTTACTAGTTTTTAGAAATAACCATAGAGACCCTTAACTAATTTGATTGAAACAAATCAACCAAGTTGTTCCTTTCATTTATTATTTTGAACAAAACAAATGCAGGCAGCTATTTTCCAAGATGTGACTATGTGAGAGATCTCCACACCTCAGTCAAAGTGCCGCACATGGTACTTATCTCTTCCAGTTAGATCTCTTTGGTTGTGTGTTTGTCTCTGACATTCCTTCCTGGAGGTTCTTTCTACTCTGATGAATCTTTGGTGGTTATAGTAGCATATATAACATACCTTTGGATGTAAAGCGCTAGAAAACTTGAAAGATGTGATATTGGTTTGGTATGATTATCTACTAATCACATAAGTACTATAGGGGTCAGCCTCTTTCCCCCCATCAGAACTCTACTTACTTCACCTGTTATGGATATTATGTTTTCTGACTAGGTGACAGACACCTTATTCCTTTTGTGTGCTTCAACAACCTATAATACAGTGCTCTCCAATTAATCAATCAAACTTCAAAGATAAGCTCCTTATCCTGCTTCTTGCTATAATTTATGCAATTATGTGTCAGTTATGCTGATAAGGGGAAACGGTCCCTGCAAGGCGGTGGCCATGGGGTGCAGGATACACTTTGCTGCTGCCATTGTGTGACTGGAAGCTGACACGCCGGTGTGAGGTCTTCTACGTCGCGGTGCTCCGCAGGGCGGCAGTTTGGTTGGGTGTTTATACTTTAAATTTGTAATGAGCACTTTCCATTACAATGGTGAGTTGCGCATACGCAAGCAGTCTACTGTGAGATGCATATTAATTTGTTTTTACAGGTTGATATGAAAAATATATCTTCATTTGTGGATGTGCCTTCTCTGACTTGGGGAAGATTTGTCTCGGAAAGTTTATATGATTGGCAATAATAAAATCTCTACTTTTTGGAACGACCCTTCTTTTATCTATATGCTTCCATAGCGTGTCTGAAAGTATGTGCACTGTGCAAGACATAGCCACTGTCCTTTTGGTTTTGGAAGAATAATATTTCATGAATTGCGTGATTAT